CCATTGCTGAGAGAACTCACCAAGTTAGTTTAGATGATTTGCCTGTAAATTATATAGCATATGAGTATTATCTGAACATCTTCAGCCAGAGTTAGGAGCAAGAGGAGGAGGAGAAGACAGAGGGGAAGGTGAGGAAGAGGAGGAAAAGGTGAGAAGATAGAAGAGGCAGAAGAGAGGCTCCAAACTCTAAGTAACTGTAGAGAGTAACTTACTTTGAACAAAAGATAGGCAGGTAGAGAGCATCCTCTCCAGCACTGTTGCGGTAGCCAGGCAACCAGAATGTGCTCTGAAACAGCACTCCCACACAGCTGGCCTTCAGGGTACACTGATACAAAACACCCATCAGCCAGGCGGTGGTGGTACCTCGGGAGACAAAGGCAGGCTGCTCTCTGTGAGTTCAAGCCCAACCTAGTCTACAGAGCAAGTTCCAGGACAGGCTCCAAAGCTACAGAGAAACCCTGTCTCGGGAAAAAACAAATAAATAAACAACAACAACACACCCCATTAGTGTCACTCTGGTAATGTCTTTACAAGGAAATATACGAAAGAATTAAAAATAGGAAAATATGTGTGCATTCATTCCTGTGTTTAGCAATATCAAAACGAGGGTGAAAAGGGTAAATTAATGAAACTGAGACTTTACTAATCTGGAAGAAAGGGGAACAGGATTAGAGGAGTTAACAATGTAATGCCATCGCTTTAAGGACAATTTGGTACACAGTTTTGGCTTTAGTAATGGTCCACATATTAAAATATTCATGCTATTTTAGCATTAGGAAATGGATTTTGGCAAAAACTACACAAAAAACAGGGTGTCAGCAACTGTAGCACCATTAATAAAAACTCAGAGACAGAAATTGGGGCTCAACCTGAAGGTCAGAAAAGCAAAACAGTCACCAGCTCTTACCTTGACCTCAATCTGAAAATGGTGTTCCTGCCTCCAGGAAAGCTCAGAATGAGACTGAGAGCTGTCTCCTCCCATTTTATAATCATCTCCAGTTCTGGGATTAAGGGTGTGCACCACTACTGCCTGGTTTCTATGACAAGCTAGTGTGGCTACTGGGATTAAAGGTGTACGTTATGGCTGCATGATCTGTAAGGCTGGCCAGTATGGCTGTTTTACTTTTCTGATCCTCAGGCAAGCTTTATTTATTAAAATACAAGAGAAAAGCCACTACAAGCAAGGAGCAATTCAGTCTTTCCAGGTGTGTGTGGGGGGGGGGGCGTAGCTGCTCCCCAGGGTAACCTAGGGATTGTCACCAGACAAACCAAGCCCACACCTTTATCCAACAGATATTCACAATTATGCCAACTCCAGCCCATATCCTGAGGACAACGCTTCAAGAACAAATCCACGAGGCAACCGTCTAGCCCAACCAAGATCCTACCCAGAGGTTAAAAACCGTAGGCTTCCTGTAAGCCCAGGCTGGCCCATGGTAGCAGGACCACTAGACTTTTGTGGCTTATATTTGAAAGTCTCTACAGGGGTAGAAGGATTTTCTAAGCCCCCAGTTCTATTTCCTAGGATAGAAGAAGAAAAGAAGGGAGGGAGAGGAAGGAGTTGAAAGAGAATGTTATTCACAGGTGAGAAGAGCCTCAATAAATACTATGTATAAGTCTCATAAAGTTGTGCAAAGTAACACAATTTGGGATTCAGTCTGTCTTCTATTTCAGTGAGGGGCATGCACCTCTTGTCCCAATTACTCTAGGAGGGAAGGCAGCAAAGTTGCTGGAGCCCAAGAATTCAAGACTAGCCTGAACAAAATAACAACCCTTTTCTCTCAATAAAATAATAAAAATAAAATAATAATGATGTTAATGATAATAATAATAATAATAATAATAATAATAATAATAATAATAATATACAGTCTTCCATGTTGAGGTAGAAAAGGCCCAGGAAGGTGCTCAAAATATGCAGCTAACCTAAGCCTTTGATTTGAATTTTAGCTTGTATAATCTGGATGGAGCAGGTCACATCCATTCCCACTCCTAAGACAAAGCCATTCCCGTCCCATTTTAAGAACACAGTCACAGTCATAGTCATGGTGGCTAGCATCTTTGACCCTAGCACTCCGGAAGGAGCAAGCCTGGTCTGCAGAGCGAGTGCCAGGACAGCCGAGGCTACACCAGGCTACACCGTAAACCCTGTCTGGAACTCCCCTTCCCTGCACTAGGGAAGTCTCCACATAAGAGTGAGGGACACCTTGTAGTGCGTGCCAGTCACGGTTGTGCTACGCAAGAACCCCTAGACCAGACCAGATGCACCCATCGCTTCTGTGGGGTTGGGCAGATGCTAAGCTGCCTTAATTTAATTGACGGTTGAACTCCAAACCTCCGGGTCCGAGCAGGGAGAGGTGATGGCCAGCGAACGTCCAGCAGAAAAGAGCTGAAAACAAAACACCGCTTTGCGAATTCCTGTGCCTGACTGCACCTCAACATAACGCTGGTCTCTCCCCAGGAGCCAGGCAAGGATTTGGAGGGTGAGTTAGGGATTTCTCTGCGCCCTTACCTCTTAAGCCCCGACTTGACCAGCGCTCTCCCTTAAAAGGATGTTTTCCGCCATTTATGAGCGGATAGAAAACGTTTTCAAGTTTCAAATAGCGTGTGATGATCTTATTAAACTAGGAAGTATTTGAACTCAGGACTGTTAACTTTAAGTCCTACCCAAGGCGGGTTTTTTTTCTTCTAGATTTCTTAGTGGTGCGTCTTATCCTCCCGCAAATGACAAAGCCCTGGCAGCTTCAGACTTTAGAGTTTGATTGAAGGTGCCGCAGACCAAGGAAAGCTGTGTCCAGCTCAGCATATCTGGAGCGCCTGGGCGGACCTCTTATCCACAACCCTCAAAATCCCAAGTATTCCTCGGGTCATCGGAAGTGCGCCCGCCCGAGTAAACATCCATCAGAACGCCTTTCCCCTGCATCTCTGGGAAGCAGGTGGAATAGCACAATTTTCCAAGAAGTCCCAGAAGTTTTTAATTCGCGTTTAAAAAAAAAAATACGTCTCAATGTTTCCTCTACATATGTATACTGAGGATATTACAGAGAATAAAGAAATAAAGCATCTACGAAGACAAAGTTTTATTTACGGTGATTTTTAAAAAGAGACAAATTATGAACTAATTCTGTTAAGATCCATCTGCAATGTAAGACATTTTATTGTTGAATAGTACTCAGAAAATATACTCATTTATAATGGATAAATATGTAAATTTAAACAATGAGAAAAAAACAAGACTTATTTCTGAGTGGATGTTTTCAATCTCCCCCCTCCCCGATTCTTCCACTTTTTGGGAGTGTGCATAATATGATTAAAAAACGAAAACATGATAAAATGTAAATATGTTTGGATTATCATAAAATTTAATATTCCTGAGGGAAAAGGGAGTATTGGTTTTGTGGGGGAAACGCTATGGGCACTTCGGCCAGGAAAAAGCAGGACCACCATGAAGTCTTTCCTGCCCCTCCCCTCTCCCATCCCATCTCTTACTGGGAAAAAAAAAGATCTGGAGTCATATAGTTTCATCATAAAGATTACATGATATGTATATGAAATTATTACAACTACTTAGTCACGAAAAATCAAGTTTGCTGAAAATTTTCGTGAAGTTTTTGTTTCAAAATTGTATCCCCTAGACCTGGGAGATGGCTCAGTCTAAAGATGTTTGACGATCCCTGGAACCCATCGACTCTGCCCTTAAGTTGCCTCTGACCTCACCTGGGCTTGCAGCCCCTCCCCCTCCCTTTCCACTAAATAATTTTGTTTAAAAAATTTTTTGTGCATTCTGACAGGAGAGCGGGAGGTGAGTTTTCATCGGGATTTTAGGAAATAGTAACTAAACCTCTCATATAACCGTGGATTTTCATGAGACGGGTTTAAAAACATTTGATCTGAAATTTCCTTAAATCTCTAGTGAGATCTTTTTAACTTTAAACGGTATTTTTAAATTCTGTGTTGGGACTGCAACACCGAACCCCGGTTTCTTGATCTCATTAGCATGCGCCACTGCGGCTGGGGGATTCTTGATTATACAGTGTACTGCTTATTCCTCCAGCGGACGCTTCTTTCTCCTTAATTCATGAAAACGAAGTATAGGAGAGGTTCGCCCTTGGTCCCAATCCCCACACGTTGTGCTCCAACAGCCAAGGCCTTATCTGCTCACTCTCTCGGTCCGCGAACACCGCGCTGAGTACACAGCGCAGCTGTGTTAAGGAGCTGTTAGGAAAAGCTAAGACCGGAAGAATCTTCCGACTCACACACGTTTGCTCAAGACAAGCTTTAAAACATAGACAAGGTGAAGAAACCCGAGGGAGAGACGAGAAGAACTTATGTAGACGTTTCTCTGGGGTGAGAGTTTACCTCACCATTCCAGAAAAACTTCCTAACCATTCCAGAAAAACTCAAAAATAACCAGAGTACCCGCCTCCCCTACAACGGGATACCCTCGCCGCTCCCCAACACAGCCTCTGAGTCTCAATTTCCCTTCCCTGTTAAGTGGCAGGTCCCTTAACAGTATACACAGCGCATACTGGGCTTAAAAACTTGCTCCACTGACTTTATCGGTCCCGAGATTCTTCTAGCACCAGCTAAGACCACCCCTCACCTCGCATCTCAAATCCTAGGTGCTCTCCAGCTCTCTAGCCCTCGGTTTTTCTTTGCCATGTTCGTGTATACTGGAAAACCAGTTGGACTGATTGCTCGGAAACTCGGAGCTAGCGCCTTCCAGGTACACCCTCTCAGAGCCCCCTCAGTCCGAAGCTCCCCATAGAACCCACTTGAGATACAGGTCACGCCCTACTCGTCTTCTCTGTTTTTGAGAAGGGTCAGTAGGAACCAATCCTCCCAAAGGGACTGAGGGCCGTGGGGCCAGCGTCTGGGGAGGAAGGTGCAGGGTTAGCACGTGGTTTCTGTGGGAGCCAATGGAGGACCGCAATTTTGTCACCCGGTTCTGGCCCCCCAGTCTGCCGACAAGACCAAAGAAAGCGGCAGCCCAGGACATGGAATGCGCTTCCAGGAATCGCTTGAGCCTGCCTTCACAAAAGGGGAAGTTTGGAGTCCGCGACTCCTGGCAGTGGTGGAGAATTTGTCAGCTCCGCGCCGCCTAGACCTCTGAGATGCTGCTGAGCCCGGTCACCTCCACTCCTTTCTCCGTAGACCACATCCTCAGGTTGGAGCGTGAGCCGAACGAAGCCGACGCCAAGACTCGGTCACAATGGGAATTTCATAAGAACCTAGAAAAGCCTCAGTACCTAACAATGGGCTCGGAATCCGGAGGGTCAGAGGGTGGCGACTGGGCACAAGCTGGCTCAGACCCTCTTCGGTGCCCCTGGGAGACAGTCGTGGAGATGGAGCCAGGTGAGTACGCACTCAGGTCTTTCCTATCGGCGTTATTGAAGAAGTGAGTCGTCACCGGTGGAGAATGGCATCTTCTGGAGTCTCACCCTGTCTTCTCTCATTTTATGAGTTCAAAAGACAGTCTCCCTGCTCCTAGTGCTGCCTCCTAAGGGCTTGAATTGTAGGGTGTTCCTTCCCGCAGCTGCCCCGAAGATGTGATTTTAGTGGAGCCTGGTTCGGGGAGAGCTCTTTACCATAACTTAGTTCATTCTCCATCACTAACTGCTTTTGCCTGCTTAGCCTTACCTTTCTGGGAGGAAATCACACACTCACACACACACACACACACACACAGAGAGAGAGAGAGAGAGAGAGAGAGAGAGAGAGAGAGAGAGAGAGACATGGACACACACACACATTTCTCCTTAGAAGAAATGATAGGGGAAGAACAAGTGTGTGCCTCTCCCCCCTCCGTGTGTGTGTGTGTGTGTGTGTGTGTGTGTGTGTGTGTGTGTTTTGCTTTCCAAGTGGACCTGGCACTTTAGAATAACTGCACCCTAGCCCCTCTGGTCCAAAGTGCAAGAGCAAGAAGAGAGACCCAGGAACCTAACCTTGTGGAAAGAGAAGGACCAGACAGGGAGTCTTATGTTCTGGAAGCCTCTACGACACAGGTGGTATATATAGGCAGGAAAGGCCTGCTATTGGAAGAATGAAATGGCCACTGGCCTCCCACCCTGCCAGCGTGCCAGGTGAGTGTTCCCACCTCCAGTCTGAGGTGTGGAGGAGAGTAGGTTGGCACAACCAGCCTTCCTCACCAAACCAGACCACATATAATCATGGCATAGCCACAAGAACACCTTCCGAGTTACCCTCAGATTTGAGGCTGTCTGTCACCCATCCTCCAGAAGCCTGGACGTTCTGTTGTGTTTAAAAAGAAACCTGTGGGTTTTCTGCAGTGGACACTTACTGTTCAGTTCCCTGGGTGTGGGTCTGCTGACTTGAAGCTCCGTTCAGCTTTGCTGAGAAAGGACTATGGCGGTTTCTCTCCCCCACTACTTCAGCCACAAGCACACCTGAGTATGTCCCTTGCCTGGCAGCCTGTCTTCTGCCACTGTGATAGCCACACAGGGCCCACCCGAGCCTGGCCCTAAGGGCCTTCAGTCAGGGGAATGGACCATCTGGTAGGCTTCACTGGGACATGTGACATGCATCCCCATCTGACTCTTGCCTTTTTGAAAGCAGGACTCAGAAACCCTCCAGTTGTGACTAAGAGGGTCCAGGGAGCTAACTCTATGTATGTATTTGCATTTTAGTATTTTTGAGATAGGATCTCATTATGTCAAATTTAACTTTTAGTGTGACAGTTGGTAGGGAGGTGCGAATAGAGGATCATTTTCATTGTCTAAAAATGAAATCCAAGGAGTAAAATGTCATTTGATGCTTGTCCTACCATAGCTAAATTCTATCTGACCCAGGGAGCCCATTAATAAATCGAGTTTATTTTCCTTCTTCAACATGAATGACCTCAGATTGAGAAAGTAAATTTTTTTTATAGTTTTAGAGATCTACAGTTCAAGTTTCTTCTGTCTTTTTGGATTTACCTGGGTGGGGGCCCTTTTCCTGACAGGAACTTTGAAACTATGACTGGCCTGGACTTGGCTTTGTAGATCAGGCTAACCCGAATTTAAAGTGACTGGAAGGGGCTTTGCTGAGTCAGCTGCTTTCAGATGGAGTCTCTTGCTTGCCGGTTCAGCATCGCTGGAGATCAGTCTCAATTAATTTTTAAAAGGAAACAAACCCTCACGTTTTCCACTTTTGGTGTCTTAGGTATCTATGGTTTCTTCATGCAGACGCTCTTCACCCCAGCGGCTGTGGGGGTGGGAGGATGTTTTTCTCTTCTCAAACTTATTTAAACAACAGTCAGTTCCCACGAGGTTGTGCCCCAGGCCAGAGGTTGAGAGTCAAAATCTCAACCTTTCCATTTCTCTTGAGGGTGTTGACCCTGCCCGGCTTGCACTTGCTTGGTGACCTTCGAAGTTCCCTTTGGTGCCCCTGGATTTCTCCAGGTGTGAGATGCTCAGGAAATCTCTTGTTTTTAATTTGTACTGTAGAGCATCGTGTTAATGAAGTTTAAGGTCCAGCCCCATTCTGATTGGCCCGCACACTCACGTTTCCTCAAACTGTTGGATTACCACACACAATTGAAGAAAATAAGCACACCTGATCTAGAATCAACTACTGGCGAAACGAAGATTCACAGTCTATCAGATTTCACTTAGGCTCCGAAGGGTACGAAAGCGACAGAGATATGAGAAATAATATCACTGAGACCCGCCTGGGAGGAGGCGGGCAGAGAAGGGTGAGGACAGCGGGATGCTCAGTCAAGGCTGCCGGGGATAGAGGGCTGGTTGGTGAAAACAACCTGAGCCTGTTGCTGGATGTTAATGGTGTTCCTTCCACGTGATTTTAGACACTCCCCCGCGCGCGACCTCCACGCTTGGAACTGGGAACCCGAGGATGGAGCGCGGTGCGGGCAACGGCGGTGACAGTGTACACCGAGGCGACCCGGAGGCGGCAAGGACGCGGCAGCGGCGGAAACCCCGCGTGCTCTTCTCGCAGACCCAGGTGCTGACGCTGGAGCGCCGCTTCAAGCAGCAGCGGTACCTGTCTGCACCGGAGCGCGAGCATCTGGCCAGCGCGCTGCAGCTCACGTCCACGCAGGTCAAGATCTGGTTTCAAAACCGACGCTACAAGTGCAAGAGGCAGCGCCAGGACCAGACCCTGGAACTGACGGGCCACCCGCTAACACCGCGCCGGGTGGCAGTGCCGGTACTGGTGCTGGATGGCAAGCCCTGCCAGGGTCCCGACGCCCACGCGTTCCCGGGTTCCTACGCGGCCACCGCGCCCCATTCTTGCTTCGGGAGCTACTCCGGCCCTTCCTATAGTGCTAGCTACGCGGGCCGCTACACCAGCATCGGTCCCGGGCCACTCACACCACTGGCCAGCTCTGGCTTCAGCCCAGGTGTCCCGAGTTCTGCCACGCAGGGTCAGCTGCCCGCCACGCTACAGAGAGTCGCGGCCTGGTGAAAAGATGGGCTCAGTTACTGCCATTAAGGGCCTGGTGCCTGGTCCCCTCCGCTTCCAGCTTCTCGCCAGAGAATTGAGTGTCCTCCGCCAAGGGCTGGAAAGCGGCGATCCCCGCATTGCCCACCTTACTGACCACACGACTGACTTGCCCAGAGGAGTTATCCCCAACCCCAGCGGGCGCTGAGAACATTCTTTCCCTCGGAGGTGTAACCCGGCTTTGGCTGGTCACCTAGTTGCTGTGCAGAGAGGATAGTATGGTGGCTGACAGTTTGGAAGCAGGTGATTCTGAGCCACAACCCGTTTTAAACAATTACAAGCATCCCGGAGGCCTGGGGATCAAGGCGTTCCGCACTCCATCCCCCTAAAGGAACAAGTGCACGGCCACAGGGGTACTAGGTTGAGAAGAGAGAAATGTCAAACCGCTGAAGATACCAGAAGACCACCAGTCTGAAGTGCCCGCAGACAGGGTTTAAGCACCCTGGACCTTCCGGAACATTCACCTTCCAGCACTTTCCCTGGCGGTGACTTGCAGAGGGGTCCTCTCCACTCTCAACAACTGCATTTTGTGCAGGGAACAGCCGGACGAGTAAATGAATTAACTGTATTCGGTGTGTTTGCGAGTTACAGACACCAGGACCCACAAGAGGTTCTCAGAGGGCGCGATGGCACACACCTGTAATTTCAACACTCGGGAGACCCAAGTGGGAGGATTGGGGAGTTCGAGGCCAATCTGGGCTTCATAAGGCGACCCTGTATCCAAAGTAAAATAAGATAAGTCTAGTGAGATACAGCCGAGATGAAACCTGAAGGTAGGTTATCGGGTTTCTCTTCTCGCTTTTGCTCCTGTTTGTAGATACTCTTAGAGGACACTTAGAGTCTTCATCAGGAAAAATAGCCCTGCCCCAACCCAAGATAAATATTAAAAGATAGTAGAAATTTTAACTGTGGAGTCTTCAAACTTATGAAAAATTTACACTTCCCCCAACCGTAAGTCATTCAACATGAAGACTGAAAATAAACTCAATTTATTAATGGGAGCATGGAATCAAATAGGAATTTAACTATGATAGGACAAATAGAGCAAGGCCTTGAGTAGAAAAATGTGATGTCAGCTTCCTTGGACACAATGAGAATCCCAATTCTGCACTCCCTCAATTGATCTCAATAGCTAAATTCTACTATTGAACAGGTTTCTGTATTTGGTTAAAAGGGACTCCCTGAAGTTTTCCCTGGACAGCAACTCCCAGGTTGCTCCCATTAAAGTGAGGAAGGGGTGGGTTCGATCTTCTCTGGAAGATGCTCAACTGTTGGCCCCTCACATCCCTTAAGAGTTAAATGCCTAAGCTGGGGAGCCAAAGCCACTGTTCCTATTTAAAATTTCCTACCACTTCCTGTAGTACACTTTTACACATGTACACTTTTTACATGTATTCATGGGCAGGGAGGAGATGCGTGCCTTGGTGCCTATAGAGAATCAGAGGAGGGAGTGAAGGAGTCCACGGTGCTCTCTCTCCTTTTACCCTGTGGGTGGGGGGAGGGGGCTGGAACCCAGACTTGGTGGGCCAGCATCTCTACGGCCCAGGATTACTTTCTCATGTGTCCCTTTTGTTCTCTTCCCCTTATTTCTCCTTTCTTCGCTGTTAATAAAAGTTTATTTAGAAGTGCATCGGTGTCCTCTAATTAGTGTTGTGCCCTTGGGACCTAAAAGACAAAGGTGCAGAATAACCGCTGGGTTCCCCATCCCTGCAGTGGCCCAGGCTTGTTATCCCAGCTCTCTGGTAAGGAAGCAGAAGCAACAGGACTATCCCTGGCTATGAAACCAATATAGATCTGCTCAAGCAACATGAGACCCTGTCTAAATAAATAAAATAAAAATTTACAAAAAGCAGTACTCATATTTCAGATTTGAAAATCCCAATAAGAGATTTCCTCTACTAAACCAAGCTCAAGACTCCAGCTAAACTCCCTATCCTGTGAGAATCCGCAGAGGAAGTCTCCTAACTCTCCCTTGGAAGGGTGTACTCATCAAAGGAGGGGGCATTTGGACACCGGTGCTAATCAGGATAGACATCTTTCAGTCCAATATTGCCAATGAGGCCTATCCAAGCTTTCCTAAGAAGATCCCCCCAAAAGTTCCCTTGAACAGGCCCCACCCCAGATATATAGAATATCGTGTTCTAGATCTTTGGAACAGAGTAGCAAATTAATATTATCCCCTCTCCCTTTCCTGCCCTTCCAGCCTAGAAAATCAGAGCTACAGCAGTGTACTGTGATCTGGATTAAGCCAAGTTAGACTCCAGGCCTTCCCAACTATGGGAAGCTTCAGAAGAAAGCGGAGAAGATGGGGGCTCTCCGAGTGAAAGCCAGGGCAGGTCTGCCGTGTTGGGTCATCGCAGCTGCACCTTCCCAGTAGGGGCACAAGAGCAAATGAGATATGGCTGCCGCCCTGTCCTTCAGGGCTTTATTATCTAGCTAAGCTAGGGAAAGGCAAGTCGATAAAGGTATCTGAAAATAGAAGGTGGTGTGTACTGCGTGTCACTCAGGACAGACAAAAGCTCGGGAAAGAAAAGCCAGCCGGGGATTGTGAGCAGTGAGGGGAGCTGTGGGGAAGAGGTGGTGATGAATGTGGAAAGGACCGGTTCTCCAGGAGAGGTCCAGGCCTTTGCTATGGAGACAAACAGAGGTTTTGATGTTGGGTCCACGGTCCTGTTCCAGGGGTCCAAGCTGCACATCAAAGCATGCATTAGGGAGTTTGGGGGTTATATGCAACTCACTGAAATTCCATTGAGTGGTCTCCCTTTTCTATCAAACTTGCACCATGCGACCATGTCACAACCAGGCTTGAGGAAGGCACAGAAGGCATAGTATCCTGAAGATTCCACGCCAACCTTGTAGACCCTCATCTTTTGTCACGCTCCCTCCTCCCAGATTGTTGTGGCACCCCTATTTGGCTCACCTCAAGCATAAAACCAATAACAACAACAGAACCGGATTCACACACAACCCATAGGGAACTCCTTTTTCTGAAGACAGTAAGGAGGTCTGGATTTCTCTGGACACCAAAGATTTCTTCCTTAAGAAAAGGGGAGCAAGAAAAGCTCTTCTCCCTTTCCCCACTGCGCCTAACAGGGGCTGTGAAAAACACCCTCCCACACCCCAACCTTGGAAGTCCCCCCAACCCTCAGCTGTCAATCTTCCCTGTAATCAGTCCGGTGCTAAAAGCTGCCGCTCTGTGAGTCCCTGGCTGGTGAGTGCTTATCCTCCTGGGGCTTTTACTGGGGAGCAAGCCGCCCTGTAAGCAACCCTGGCCTTATCTGCTTCCTTCAGAGCCGTCACTCCGCTCACCTCTTAATGTTCACAAGTCCCCCAAATGGGAAGTAATTGACCTCTAAACAAAACAGAGAAGCTCTCAGAGAGACAGCAAAGGTCCTGACTGTCCCAGGGCCAGGGGCTTCACCTAGACCAGGTGGGTGAGTCAACACATTAGCAGACTTTCTGGCTCCTGACCCTTCATCTTCCAGCCTGGCTTCCACCCCCCCCCCCACCTTAAGCCCTCTGGTTCCCAGGCTGTGTACCAAATAGAGTCTAGACAGGAGCTGGGGGAGATTTGAGTCACTTTTTGTGGTATTCTCATCATCCTTATCACCACCACCATCATCTCTCAGACTGTGTGTTGGGGGTATTTAAATCTTTTTTAAAACTTCCATTTGCAACGTGTGTAGAATTCCCAGTGTTCATATGACTTCCTTATATGAATCAGCTCAATGATCAGCTCTTTTCCTTTGCTGGAAAAGAAGGGGACTCGGGTTTAAAGGCAGTGCCCCTCAGCCCAGTGCCTTCAGAAGGATGATAGTGAGCTGTTGTGTTGTTCTGGCCCTCGTTTAATTAGGAACATGCTCTGTGACCTTGGGTCAATCTTCTAACCTCTCTGTGCTTGACTTTCCATCGGCAAAACTGAGGAGTTGTAACTCTGGGGTCGCCATTCTAACTTTGGTTGGCTCCCTGTTGGTTTGACACAGCCTTCCATTTTTAAAACGAGGGGATGTATAGATGCTGTGTCTAGAACGTCACACTAAACACCTAAACACTGTTTAAAGGACACTGACGTGAACAGAGTCTGTCAAAGACTCAAGAGTCACCCACTCAAGCACGGGGTGCCTGTCCTCCTGCATCTCTGCTCCCCCCCCCTCTCCCCAAATGCAGCCTCCCCTACTACTCCCCATTCCCCAGAGGAGGTCCTAGCTACCGAGATGGAGATTTGGGAGCTTCTTATTATGGTCATGTGGATGCTTCCTTCAGCTGTGACTTAATTGGGTCTGGTATTGAAGGGCCCTGGGGGATCGACCGACACGAACTCTTTCGTGACTGGCCTCCTCTATTCCATGTGCTGTGCAGGGATTCATCCAGGCTGCTGGATGGAACTTAGGTTAGCTGGAGTGCTGCATTAGAAGGCACTGGGTGTGTGCACTTTAATGCGCGTGCTAACTGACAGTGTAAGCCATTTACAGCAGAGGATGGCAACACTGCTTTAGTGGCGCCATTTCTCATGGGCACAGCTGTGATCTACAGCTGAGGTTGGTCTCTTCCTGCTGCAGTGACTTGCTGGGCAATGATCTACCTGCTGGTGGGTTTCTATTTATCTGTGAGCAGTTGTGTGTGTGCACATGTGTGCGACTATGTGTGTATGTGTCTCTCTGTCTTGGTCTGTCTTTGTCTGTCTATCTTTCTGTCTGTCTGTCTGTCTGTCTGTCTCTCTCTCTCTCTCTCTCTCTCTCTGTGTGTGTGTGTGTGTGTGTGTGTGTGTGTGTTGTTATAGATGAACCCAGGGCCTCACACAAGCCAGACAAGTGCGCTACCACTGAGACACACCCCCAGTGCCCGATTTCCATTGGTACAGTGAATACCCACCTACTACTGTCTACCCTTATAACGACTTCCCACTTTACTCAGGATTCACCTTCTCCGTCAGATACAAGCAAACTGCCTCCTCTCTAGTCACAGATTCAACCAACTTTGGATATTTTTTTTAAATACTTGAAAAAAATTCTTAACAGTCCCAGAAAGGGAGAATTGCCTTTCCCTTAAATATTGTGTTGAGTCCCTGCATGTGAAGTGACATCTAAGTATTATAGTGAGTACCTTCGGTCATCTAGAGACACCTGGCAGACCAAGGATGGTATGTATGTATCGAGAGGTGTCTGTGCAAACACTGCTATGTTAACAAAAGATCTGACATTCATGGATTTTGACATCTAAGGGGGGGTGTGCCCTGGAACTAATTTCACAAAGACCCCAAGGGATGACTACTTCCATCCAACAGAAAATGCATGCAATGGCCCCAGAAGTGACAGTCACACTATTGGTTAGTGACAACTGTACCTCTTCCCCTGACCCTCTAGTCTCTGTCCTGTGGCTTTGTGAGCAGCTACTTCCAAAGTTTCCTACCAACACCATAACTGTCAAGTGACTTTGTTTTCTTTATGCTACAAGTAAAAACTACAAAAGATGGATTTTTGGAAAAGATCAAAAGGGGATAAATTTAAAAAGGGGGATCAAGCTCAGTGGGAGATGGGTGAAGTCCTGTGTGGTCAACCCCACAATATCCATTAAGAAAATGAAAACTGAGAAAAAAGTTAAAGGATTATATAATGTTAAAGGGCTGAGTCTGGGGTTGTGGTTCGATTGACTGAAAGCTCATCTAACATGTAGCAAGCCCAGGGTTCAATCCCCAGGGCCACATAAGGAAGGCATGGTGGCTCAAGCCTGCAGGTAATCTCATCCCTCAGGAGAATCCTTCCTCCGGATTCTATTTAGGTTCAGCTAGCTCCTCCCAAGCCCCAGAATTGACCTGAGAGAAAGGTGGATCTTGGTGAGATGCTGTCCAGATTCCAGGGTACTGGAGATAAGATCTGCCCAGCAGCTGACAGGAGCCTCTCAGTGCTGCCCCAGTCTCAGGGACTGTCCTTTGAAGCTGATCTCAGGCCAACCTGCCTCCTCCCCAACCTGTCTCAGTGATTTCTGCCTCCTCCTGTCACCAGCCCAGCTTAATGGCCTGAAACCTGTGGCCCAGGAAATGGAATCCTAAGCAAAGCCTTCAGTGAGCCAAACTTTTCACCATGGCTCCTGTCTGTTGTCTTTCTGTACCCCCCCCCCAGGCCTCATCTCCACAGTCCCCAGGGAAGCCTGTCTCAGCATCCAGACTGCTCTTAGAGCCCTGAGGAGAGTGTCACAAAGCACTCGCCCTTCATGTCTGTCTTTCCTAAAGAAAGTGGATCTGGTCTGGCCAGTGTGTTTCCACCCTCGGTCTGTCCAGGAACTGGGACTCTGGATTCTATTTGCTGATTGTTACACGGACCAAGAAGTGACTTGTTGCTGCTTAGCTTTTTG